TCAGAGGAGATGGGGAAGAGAGACCTACCTTCTGGTCTAACTCCCACACAGGTTCACCACGAAATCCTTTGAGTCCTAAGGTACAACCTTATTTTTCATAATCTCACCTTAAGGAGGAGAAACCCAGGGACTCTCCTGCTTGAAAAACCCACTACATCAGTGAATTTCACCCGTTTTTACTTTGTAGGCTTCTCCATTTTTTTTCCAATGAGACTGTGGCCTTCTGCATACTAAGAAATCCTGTGATGACAGCAGCCTTGCTTTGTGCAGGTGCTCCAGCACTAGGCGTAGGCTGGCCAGAGCAGATTCAAGGAGACAATGTGGTAAGATTCCTCTCTGAGGAAGAGGCGTTGGACATCTCTGTAGTAGGTCGATATTATGATGAATTCTTGCACACGGTGAGGGAAAGGCCCGTACACTGAGAGTAGGAAATTATATCTTGGTGAAACTGTTTGTGGAAGCTACTTCCCAGCAGCAAAGAAGACATCATGCAACCTAAAATTTGGTAATTTATAGATACTTCTGTTTGCTGGAAAACAGATAGTGGGCTGATAAAGATTGTTCTTGTGAGAGTTCAGAGAGATTTGGAAGAGAAATAACAAACCCACTTTATTTCACATGATATTGAAGATGTGATCATTTTTATAATAATCACTCCACAACTTAATCATTTCTTTGAGAGATTTACAAATCCAATTTACATAAGCAATGCAAATGTGATGGTCTAAGACTCTTTTTAATGAGGCAAATATGCTCATTTATGTTCAAATCATAACAAAGAGAGGGAAAAAAACAGAAATGGAACACCTTGTCTTTGCCTATGGAAATTTTTTCACAGTAAAGCGTTGAACAAAAAAAAGCCTTCAAACTTCCTGGGGGAGCCCTTGCCTTCCAGAGGCTTTCTGATATTTCCTGCACTCTATTGAAGGAAAAAGCTTAAATTTAGAGAAAGGTACAGACTGCATCTTTTGTTATTAGAATCTTTTTGTTTATCGATGTCAATAATTAGAAAACTGCAGCAACAGAATAGCAAAAATCTTCATTTCTTTGTCCTAAGTTCAGACACTTTGGTAAAAAATAAGCGATAAGTAAACACATATGGTTTAAATAGTCTTTTTTAAAGAATCGGTATTTTAAATCAGCCGGTTTTATTTTTGTGTCACTTATGACATTCTGTTAAGTAATCATTGAGAATTACCTTTATTTATTATGATATATGGGACTGATAGCATGTACTCCTTTTATTAATTACTTTAAGGGATTGCATATTGAAATGTTGAGGTGTAGAATTTTCACTCAGTAGCTGAGTATGTTGTCCATTATCTGGCTGAACGACATAAAAATTCTGTGGTTCAGTCATTCCTTCATAGAAGATTTATCTGACAAATATTTTCCTGAGGCGGCATTCCATCATCAGTGCCACTCTCTCAGGTGGCATTTCATCAGGAAGTGTCAGTATCAGAAGAAGGAATAAGACCCTGTCCTTCTACTGAAACATGAGCAAAATGGTGGATGAAAAGACCTGGAAGAAAATACTCTTCAGCACAACTAAGGACTGCTACAGAGGCATCAGCCAGTGCCTCAGTATAGCTAATACCATATTAAGCATAGTGACAGCTATATTCAGTTCTGCATTTTTGACGGAGTAAGTTGGACCTCTATCACATGGAAGTCTGAGGCCAACCCTCATATTCTATATTTGGTATTTTTGGAATTCCTGTTTGTGTGCTATGGAGGAAAGTGCAGACAATTTTCCAGTAAGTTATTATTGCTCATCAGTTTTTATTCCTGATGAATGAGGATGCTTCACACCATAAATCTTTTACTGGTCTGGGCTAACTGTTGCCTCTCCTGGGCTTTCAGCCAGTGTAATTTTGTAGGGAGGAATTGCACAACTTGATGAGAAAGAAGTAAATAGTCCTCTGTTAGCAGCTATTTGAAATAGCAGCTGTTTAAGGCTATTCAGCGAGGGGGAATATTAGCAATATTACTGGGCCAACTGTAGGTGGTGTGCCATATGCGCGTGTTGCCGCACGCGGCGGCGTATTTGTCTGATGTGAAACTTCTATTCACTGGCAAACATGATAGTGACTTTTATAGTGGTCACTGCTGAAGTACTTGAACAAATTCTGGTAATTTGTCACCGTGCAGTATGGATATGGAGCATGGGTAAGGAGATGAGAATCTAGCCTTTCATATTTTGTGCTAATGGGGCCCACAATGATGTTATTCCTAGCACCAATGATATGTAATGGACATGATGCTAGTATCTGAAGAACAGAGTACCTGCAGTTTGTATGCTCCCATCTGCAGGTGCAGGGCGTGATGGGGTTGGAGGGGAAGCTGAGGGGCTGTGCACAACCGCCTGCTCAAATATCCATGAGATAAGTAACCGAGAGCAGCATAAATATGTGTTTGCAGGTCTCGCCTGGACACTAAGCGTTGTTAGGGCTCCAGTGAAAGAGCTGCTGCAGTTTATCCTTTCTGCACCCTCAAACTTATTTATGTCAAAGAAACTAAAATAAGTAATTGTACATTTTCCCCTTTCCTCCCAACTCTCCCTCCCCCACTGTGACTTTGTCCCCCAGTTACACTAATGCGAGCTGTGGGATATAGTGACCTCTCATCCAGGCAACTCTAAGAACCGTTAGGTCTAGAAACTCCCCTATTTAGAAAGCTTGGATCTCTCCTTTCCCAAGGGAATGTAAGGGGTTTTTTTCTTAGTCTTGAGTAGATGTGTGATGAGATGTTAAAATGTCAACACCTCAATTTATAGAGAATATCTTAAGTTATTTTTAAGGTTTTTTTTTAAATTGTTGGAACTAATTTTTCTGTCCCTCTAGGGCTTGTACATACTATTTAAGTTGTCTTTACCAGGGTGGGAATATGAAAAGAGCAATAACAAATTTTACAAGTGTTGAAAAGAGAAAGAAAAATAAGAGAGGATTTTTTTTTTCTCTAAAATGTATTGCAGACAAAAAATGTTTATGATATTAAAGTTTTATTGGCTCTCTTTTGGGATGAACTGCATACCTTTCCAGTAGTAATTAATCCAACCTTACCAAACAATATAATATGCTGAGAATGTATAAGACATGAGAATATAAAAACAAGTTGAGATGATCCCTTGTGATTTTCTAAGCTAATTTATTTTTTACTTCAAAATTAGCAGTGGTTGGAATCACCCTCAATATGATTCTTTGACATTTTAAACTTAAAGAAATAGCCCTTTTCATTTTTCTTTGTATGAAATGAATACATTTTCAAAAAATAGCTATCTAGTCTCCTGAATTATCCTTTGCTTGAGAGATAGTACATGTTTTATTAAAATCATGACATTTTCAATAAGCAAAGCATTTGCCCTAGCATCTGCTTAAAAGAATAATGAGAAAAATATACAAATTTAATAATGACATGAACTTTTTTTTTTAGCTAGATAAGGTAGTGTGAAGCCTACCCTTTCAGACCAGAAATTATTTTTTGCCTCTGGAAACTTGGCCCATCTCTTCGTAGACCGGTGTGCAGCTGATGGGCTAACCTTGCTCTTCCAGGAGTGCTGCCCGCTCTGCCTGCTCGTCACCAGAGCTTTTACCCTGGTGCTCACCTGGCTGCATGGGAGCTGGCCAAGCCCAAACGCTTTCCTGACCTGTCTGAGCAGCCATCTGGAAGGGAGCAGATGCTATTATTCAAAAGTAGTTTGGTAGATGGGTCCAGGGCCCTTAAAACTCCCACCAGGAGCATGGACCCTGCTGCACATTTTGTAAAGCACCTGTCCTTGAAACAAACACTTCTGTCTCCTGTCTCAGGCAGCGAGCATATGGTCTGTATGACAAGTGGAGAGAAATACAGTGCCTTGGGGTGGGATGGTGCCATGGCCATTTTTCAGATGCTTTCAAAGAGAGAGGAGCACCTTGAGTAATGGGGTCCTCTCCTCTCTCCTTTTAGCCCTGCACAAAGAGACATGTCTTCCCATCTCTTGGTAGTGTCTTGTGTTGGAAAGTACTTCATGAAGGGGGTTAAAAAAAAATAAATAAGACAAAAAGTCAAAGCAAATGCAATGTATGGGAGGAGAGATTGTCGGTCTTAAAGCGGATGCTGAGGAAAAGGCTGGTCCTGCCCACACGGCCCTGACTGCCGTCTTGGAGCATAAGGTGGAGCGGGAAATTCAGTCTCCGGCTCTGCTCTCTCCTTGCCTTTCCTGCGGTACCTGTGGATGTGTTTGCTAATGATGGCAGTGGTGACGTTTGTTAACTGGATGCTGTTTTGACACTGCCAAATCCTTTCGCACAGGTCACCATCTGCTTGGTGGTCAACTGCAGTTGAAAGGCTTTGTGTAGCCCATTAACAAATTCATTAGCTGTCCAGACCTCTAAAGTATTTTAAAAGCTCTGTTTAAAAGCTCAAGCACTTTATTTTTCTTTTTTTTTTTTCGTGGTCTGTTCTGCTTCAAAGCCCACTTTCTTTCTTGTCTCATGGTAACGAATTAACTGTAAGTACGAGTGACAACCCAGGTAAATGGTAGATGTCTGGGGTCATACAGGGTGTGGACTCTGTAGGAAAGAAGAGACTCCTTCCTGAGAAGCTCTCGTGAAGTTGGCGTTAGAGTATTCACCAACCACCTGTCTCACAGGCAACAGCAGGATTTGGCCCTGTCTTGTTGTAGTGTGCAATGGGATGTAAATGCATTGATCTCAGCGGAGTTATTAACTGCTACTGGTGCAACAAAAACACCATTTGGCCTAAATGTTATGGAGAGATGACAACCAACATACTGAACAGATCTGCTTCTCAGGGATCTCTCAGGCAGGGGATGTAGCCAATCTGTCCGTGCTGCTTTGGGCCATCTGAGCTTCCCTGGAGAATTTAGATTTCCGTCTAAATTGCATTCAGTTTTTATTCATATTGGCTTAGAATATGTTTAATGTCTTCTTTTTTTCTTTATTTTTTTTTTTTTCTGCAGTAATAGTAAAAAACTGTTTTTCTCCCCTAACTATGTGCAGGCTGGCATGGCTTTGACTTACGATCCAACAGCTGCTATACAGAATGGGTAAGGAATGCATGTTTTCTTATGCCTTTTTAAAAATTATTTTGAATGCCATCTTCTGTTTTTTCTTTCTGTGGTGAAACTTATTCAGAAGCAAATTCACTCAGTCATATTTTGTCTGAAACATATAATGCTATATTGTCGAGTTCTTTTAGTTTCCCTTTTGTTTTTATGCTCTCTTGTTTGTAATATCCATTTGAATGGGAAGTTGTTTTTCCTAATAGTTTCCATCTCTATTTGGCAAATGCTAGTGGATGTTTTTTCAATCTGTCTGTCATGAAATGGAAACCAGTAAAGTTTCCCTTTACTGACTTTGGTTTTGTTAAAGTAATCATTGAAGGTTCCAGCATATTTTGGATAATAGAGCTGTTACTTCATGTGGGGTTCTCTCTACAGGCTGGCTGGCTTCCATGGCATTGTCTGGATAGAAATGCCAAACAGGGAGAAAGCCTTAAATTAGTGTGTAAGCAGATGAGATTTAGGTGTAAAATTCTGAGCAACGTTCTTCTTCATTTCTCAACTACAGTTTGCTAACACAAAGAATTGTAACTTTTTTTCAAATTTAGCAGAGAAGATACATCATCGGATTCTTTACCTGTGCGATTACATTTCCAATTATTTAATGAGCTAGAAAAACAGAGCCTTGAAATCTAGCTATCCTTTCAGATAGGTTAACAACAATTTGAAGAGAAGCAGGAGGGTCAGCCCTGAACTCTTTGACAGTCACTCTTTGATCAGAGAGATGTTTGATATGATTATCAAATTCCATGCATACTGCTGTCTGTGTTCTCCAGCTGAAGGGGAGAATGTATTGATACAGGCGAGAATGGGTTTATTTGTGAAATATTTGTTAGGGCACTGCTAATTGAAGCATTTAGGAAAAAAATAACATTCCTAGTAATTTTAAAAGAAAAATCATAATAGTTAGTATGTTTTACTTAATTAACCTTTACAAGCAGTAGCTTTGTAGGACTCATGATATTCTCATGTTGTGGAGAAGCGGCCAAATCATTGCAACTCAGAAAAAAGAGGGTTTTTGGATAGTTGTGTTTTCAGAATCCTCTGGTTCTGTTTCCCTGTTCTGACCTCTCAAACGAGTCTTTCTCCTCTCTCGTCATACATTTCGGTTGGTAACACATTATAGGCTATAAATAAAACTATCGCTAGTTCATAATCCACTAGTGTTTCATCTGGACAACTGGCTTTTATTTCAAAGGAATTCCTGCATGTCAGTTGCATGAATGTTTTGGAAACTTTAATTTGAATGATCCTTTGAGATTAATATCATTTTGCTTCAAGAATATTTTTTTTGAAATTATGAAAGTTATCTCAGAATCAGACATTATCTGTACCAGAGAATATCCATGCTTCTCAGGTGTTCAGGCTGCTCAAGCGGTTTGTTCACTAGATTATTTGAACATGCTGTCGGTGATTGTTGGGAGAAGAAAATAGTACCCAATGGAGAATTTCAACTCTGCAGTTTTTTAAATGTTCTTTTATTTGTAAAGTATGAAATAAACTGCAGCACTGGATATCTCTCTGAGTGACAATTAATTACTGCTTTGACATATCTCTTTCTGGAGTGTCAAAATGTTTTCAATTTCATCAGGACAAAACCATCTCATTTAAAATGCTCTTATGGTGAGATTATGATGGTATGCAGTATCATGAGGAGAAGCTCTTACTATGCAGAAAAATTGATTTGTCCACCACAAGTTACACCTGCTGTCACCTGAGGATCACCAGGACCCTTTGGTTACACAGTTTCTTTTTAGCTCCCCAGGCGTTTGCTTAACAGTCTCTGCATATCCTGGAGTTATAAATTTTTACTATTTTTCATAAGCCTCTTTACTTGCAAGTACAATAAAAGTCTAGCTCGTGGGTTTTAGTTTAGCTAAGTCCGGGAGCACCTCGATGCTTTGCTTGTAAAATGTGCAAATGCGATTTGTTGCTGACAGACACAACACATGGGGATCATAGCAGGTGCGTGGCCATGGTGGAAGAGAGTTAAAGGCTTTTAATCAGTGTGAGGTAAAACAGGTTATCTTAGTCTTCAGTGAAGGGCCATTAGCCGAACACATTGCTCTTCCTCACAGTGAAGACAGTCTGGAAGTGAGCACAAAGCTGCTGCTTGCAGCCCTGTTGCCTTGATGGTGTGCCCATACCGGCTCTGTGGGTAAAATACTGCATGATACTTTGGCATCAAGGTGGACAAAGCCAAAGTTTTGCATGGGGCAATGTTACCCAAAGGTCTGTAAAACAAAATCTGTCTCCTTGTAGCAGGCCTGTTCGGTGCAGTCAGGCTAAGCAGGTGTTGACCCTGCACACAGCTCAGGAGTTCTTGACGTACTGTGCTAAGCACAAGTTGCTCAGTCCTTTGGGTGTCCACCAGTGTGGAGCTTAGCGAACTGAGGCTGGAGATGGGAGATGTAAAGATACTCAAGCCGAGGTGAAGATTCAGGTGAGGTATGAATTCCCAATAAAACTTAAAAAGAAAGATTAACTGCACATGCTGAAATTTAATAGGGTCCTCTATAGGATTGACAGATGCATTCGGTGCATGTAAGTTGCTAAGTCCACATAGGATTATATGTGGAATAGAAGCCTACTAGAGAAACATGTCTCTGTAGGTGGCATGGGGTGGTTATTTAAAATTTGCAATTCCTTAAGAGGCATGGATTATAGTAGGGTTTGGATTTGGGCATAACTAAACCTCAGGGAAGAATCTGGACTTTTGTATGTTGTCCAGATGAAAAGGTGGGTTCTCATTGCTCATGGTGTAGTACTATCCCTTTTATTACTGCATAACTGGGTATTTACCTTGAAAATCTATAGCAGGAGTAAAACAGAAGAGAACGAGAGAGAGGCTTTCACTAAAAATAACTAAGATCTTTTCCCCACAAAGGAATAGATAATTTTCTTCTGAGTCTATTACGTTGTAAAGCTTGATTCTCCATTTCATTATATTGTTTTTTTATGCCCATGTAACTCTGTTTAAGCATCCAGAGGAGTTACGTCAGTGTAAAAACTGGTATAATGGAGAATCTGGCCTGTAGTGTACCATAGAGTTGCAGTATGAGTTACTGAAGACGTGGTAACCACACACTTCAGTAGATAAGCTCTTTTCCCCTGTCAGTCTCTCTGTGCCTTTTTTGGTTTATAATCAGCCTTTTCTGAATTGCATTTACAAAGGTACTCAGGTTTTATTTTGGGGAGTAGTGTGCCTGTTGTAATATGCTATTGATTTTTCAATTTGTGGTATTAATATTGTTTTTAGTGGTTTAATGCACTTATACAAAGAACAAAATAGAGCTCTTGTACTTGCACCGTGAGGATGCTCATTTAAAATGTTCCTGAGGCTTGAGTCCTCCTGGCCATTTGACTAAGATTGCGATGTACTGTATCAGTGTAATATCTGATATCTGGGGGACTATACTGCGCATTTGCTGGCCAATAGGCTCAGTATTCAGATAGGTCTTTTTCATCTCAAACATCTGACTCTGTGGCTTATTGCAACAGAAAATTGCTGCCTTGATAACGCTTGGTAATACTCTTACATTATGTGAGCCCCAGGATACTATTTATGAATCTAACTTTTTCAGTACTGCCTGCAGGCACGAGGCATGAGCAAATGGTGTTTATTGCAGTGCAAATAGGGTCTTGCTCTTGTGCAGATTCTGTGTGGAAGCTTGCACATTCCCCCATAGGATGGGAACCATATGGATTTTTTTTTTCTATTTTTTGGCAGGGAAATAGCGACCAGACGCTACAGATAATGCAGTCCCCAAATGCGGAGGGAGGGTTGATGTAGGAGGGGAGTATGTGCTTTGTCTGTTAAGCAACAGAAACTGTTCCTAAAGCATTGCCTGTGTGTTCCTGATGATGTATTGGGAATGTGGTTCTTTTTAAAATCTCTTTAAAACATTTTCTTTTGAGCCCTTTATAAACTCCTTTCCATCAACATCCAGGAACATCTTTTTGCCTCCTAGTGATGAGTTTTCCCTGTGCTTATAGAATCTGAGTGTGCTGCAAAGATCTATTTTTAATACAAGGGCAATGTCTGGTTTGCCTTGTCCTTACCACCTGCCTTTCTTCACTTTTGCTTCTACCGTTGCAATTGCAGCTGAGGAGCAGGGACACTGGCTCGCACCTGCAAAAAACTGCACAGGCCAGTATAAAGATGTGAACTGCATTTGTGGAAAATGCAGCTGAGCCTTTTGGAGAGCTCTCCTTAGAGCTCACAGGTCACCTATCACAAATCCTATAGCTCTCAAAATACACTGTAACACACCATACATTTTAATGCTAGGAAACTTGGGGGCTAATTGAACAATATATCTAAAATGGGTCCACGCCCATTGTATGGGTACAATTCATACTTCTTTCCACCCCTCTTTCTGATGTACATATTCTGATGACTGCAAATCCTGTATTCCCTTGGATTTATCTACAACATGCACCTTCCACCACATGTCGTCTCTCACTAAGCCTAAACAAAAAAAGTAAGAAAGCCTAAGATTAAATATAGCAAGGTCAGCAGCTGCAGATCTTGTTGGGATGCTGCAGGGTTTACACCAGAACAGAACACTCTGGTGTTTTTACTTTTTCTGTCTCTTTTTTAAGTCTCCAGCATGTCACTTATGCCAATTAGATATTAGGACATAAGCCTATTTGTATGTAAAAGGCATCTGAGGAGATGCCTCCATGTCCCATGGGTGACAGCGTGTTGAGCCTTCTTTGTGAGAAGGCCCTGCCAGGGCAGTGTGTGGTTCCAGCACTGTGGCAGGTTGAGCATCCCACACCTGGGGGGGGCTTTGCTTGAGTCTGTCCCCAGTGAGGACACTCCTATCCTCACCATACCACTGTACTTCAAGCATGGCAGAGATATCCACATCCTTTTTTTCAATCCCTTTGGGCACAAGTGACTCTGTGGCAGGAAGACAAGCCTTTCTCTCTGGGTGTAAGAGATTCCTGCTTGCAAAATGATTGACCTACAGCCTGTCACAGTGACTCAGATTGTTAAACTTGATTTATTATTTTTAAAATTGAAATATATGAACTGAATTTTCTCACACTGTCATTTGCTGCATCAGATTTCCTTCCTTGCTCTACTTTGACGCTTTGGTGCATGCATTTTTACAATATAGCTGAATGTCCTGATAGTATATTTTATTTGATGCTTATTTGAGAGTATTCCAAACTGTGACAGATAAATGGTATTGGCAGGGCTGTTGGAAGGGTTGTATTTTTCACATTACCAGAGTGTATATTCTACAAGCTTATGTACTATTCAGATAACTGCATCTCTAAGCTGAAACTGAAATGGTTAGCTGTCTGTCAATTTCTTGGCTTAGCACGTTTTCTGTAACTTTGGTAGTATTTGCTAGGATTTATTGGAGAGTTTATTCCAGAGAGTCAGCATTACTTCCAAGTGGAAGGTCATTTGTTCCCTGCACTTGTCTTTGTCCGAGCAGTTCATATGCGGTGTGAGTGCAGCATCAGTGCCAGGCTGATGGACAGAATGAGAGCAGAATGAACAAAAATATGTTATTTTCTCAAAAGAATTTTGGTTTTATACTGTCCTTCAGTTCAAGAGATTTCTATGTATTTCTATTATACATTTTACCTGTAGAGTGTGGGTTTTTATTTGCCGCACGCAGCATTTCTTAGTTCATCCACTTAGCAACAGCACAGCCAAAGTGATTTCTGGTTAACCTTGATCTTGGAGAAGACCCTTGTAACAGGACTTAGATAACATATGCATCATACTAATGCCATAGATCAACCTGACTAGTGCTGTAAAAGTTCTTTCTCCTCCAATGTTTTATGAACTCAGTGTTTGATACAAGCAGTGGAATACAAATGCTTGTAAGTTCTCATAATAGGACATATATATAATTGGGCAAAGGCACAGTTTTAAAATAGTCTCTGTGCAAGCATTGTAAGGGCAGATAAATGTTCCTAAAATAGCAATATATTTCTGTTAAACAAAAAATCACTCAGACGCCACCTGCTGCTTTTGGCATTTTAAGATCTTATTTGGAATGGAGAGAACAAAATGATTGCTTCTCTGTCTCCCTCTCCCCTCCGAACTTCGAACGTTTCTGCCCAACCTTCAAAGACGGCAGCCTGTTTTTCTGAGGCTATTGGTTGAACAAAGTCAGTGGTTATTAAAGCCTGCATCCAGAATGAATGCATCCAGTCTGAACTAGACTGATTAGCACTAAATCCGGGATGCCAGGGTGATCAGGAAATAGAGCACTTGTTTAAACACCAGTAATGATTTTTTTTTGTTACATGGCTCTCATGGAAAGCTACTGTTGATTGCCTCAGCGTGGGGAGAAAAAAACATAAAAAGGCAGGGAGAATAATCCACTTCACTGATACAGAGAGAGCATATGTGCAAAATCTTCTGTTACTTGTAAGATTTGTGCACGTTATACAAGAAGGATCTGCATGGGTTTAAATCGGACAAGAGAACTCTGCACAGGAGTGTTTCTCTCTCCCGGAGTCCAAATTATCAGTATTCTGATAGCTGCAAGACCACAAAAATTCTTATTTTAGATAATTTTATTTTTCTGGGTTACAGTTAAAACTGAAAAAACGGCAAAATTTTTACAAGCACACACATATTAAGTACTTACACAATCCATGAGTAGTGATTATTTTCCAAGTGATAATTTTATCAATAATAATTAACTCACAGAGAAGGAGAAGAAATGTAACATTTATTACCATTGAGCAAGAGATAGTGCAACTTTTGTTCATAGCATGCAACAGTGGAAATAAAAACAACTAAATCTGAGATTTTCAGTGCTGCCTGGGGCATTTAGTCTCATAAGTCATGATACATTTCACCAGAAGGTGGGTTTTTTGCTCTCTGCCTACATGAATATGGAAATTTCAGCCAGAGTTTTTGTAGCCATCCCTTAATAAAATAATTCAGGCATGTATATGGAATGTGTTATTCCCAGCACTGAAGCGTTAATATCTGAAAAGAAAACAGTACTGCATGTAAAAATGAAATCAGTAATATTGTCTTCGATATCGCGTAAGAAATTTCGTTTCACTAGCTAGCACTCTGGAAAATCAGCTGTCTTTGCATTTCAGATAATTACTTCTTGTATTGTGAAGTTCTATATTTGTGCTAGTTGAAGTGAAAAAAAATATGCTTGGTGTAAATATTCCTCCTCCTTTCCATTTTTGAGATCTATTCAGTGGAGCCATCACAGCTTCTATATTGTGGTTTTGGAAATAGATGGACATAATTGCCTGGGTAGACTCTTTCTGTCTTTGCCCGGGAGGCAGTGAATTAGTTAGTCAGAGCCTAGCAGTCGAAAAGTTCAAAAAATCTCACTTTTGTTCTTTGTTTTCAGATTTTATTCCTCACCATACAGTATTCCAACAAACCGCATGATTCCACAGACATCAATCACGCCATTCATTGCTGCTTCCCCTGTCTCTACATATCAGGTACGTCAGATTTGTGCTTGTCTACTATGTTTCCCAGTTAATTATGTTTTGGATGTGGATGAAGGCAGAATGTGTACCACAGAAAATTGTGTGAGTGCTTGTGCTCTTGAGTCACGCTTTAAACAAAAGACTTTCTAGTAGTATTCAGGTATCATCTGGTGTAGAGTTTGAAGTGTTTCCTGCATTCTTTACACTTGCAATGAAAGCCACTGTACTTTTTTCTTATTTCAATCAGCTTCTCTAGTAAACAGCATTTTGTTTCATTTCCAGTTGACAACAGCAGAAGCTTTTCATTCTTATTGAAATGTTTTGTCATTTTGACTTCCGTTCATTAGCCAAAAGTTTTTTTCAATGTTTTTTTTTATAATTTATGTTGACTGCCTCGTATTTTGACCTTTTGACCTCAGCTGTATTTGCTGCAGTAACGGCATCCTTTAAAAGCACTCATTTTTATCCAGTAATCCCTGACAAAGCAAGTTACTTGAGGATAACCATCCTCATATCCTTCTTTAGTCTCCCACACATTTTGTCGTTCAGAATTTCTCTTTTCAGCATATCCCTCACAGATGTCCACTGGGAAATTATTGCCATGCTCTGGCTTTCTGAGATGGAAGTCAAAACCAGGTTGTATAGTTTTATTACTAGCTGTTCTCTGGCAACATATCACTTCACTCTAAAGCTGGTCATTGGCTATACATTTTCCCATTTCAGTTGTTTCTGTCCTTTAGCATCAGGGCTCCTCTAATCCTGAGCCTTACCTGAGATAAGCTACCTAAAATTGCAAAGCTGCATGGTGAGTTGTTCTTAATGCTAGAGTTGGTTTGTTGGGGTGGTTTTGTTGAGACAATATGCTACTACTCGCAGGTAATTCAGGGAGGTTGTGCTTACACTTACTGTGTTTTAAACTTGATCGTCAAAGATAACTGATTCTTGTAATTTTCTTTGACTTTTTGTGTATTTAATTTTAGATGGCTATGTAGCACTTGTCAAACAAAAGTTGTTTTGCTGAGATAAATTCAATAAATTTCAGTAAATGGCAACACCAAAGAAATGTCAGTGCTAGAGACACGAGTACAGTTCACATGCACTTCTCTCAGTAGCAAAGCTGGCTTAAGAGTCATACCTCCTCCCTCTTCTCTCAGGCCACTGAGTTCAGGCCACTCAGCCACTTATTCCCATCACTGCTCTACAGTTCACAGTTCCTCCCTTCTGCCGTCATGACTCAAACCATTGCATCGAAACCATGTTTTGATACACTTGCATGGTTGGATGCATTTGTACCTAAACATTGATTTTTTAAATTTTTTTCTTTAACCCATATCATTCTCCTTGGATAGTTTGTGGTGTGAGCCCAAACACTTTTGCCCTGTCCCAGAGAAGGAACTGCAAAGCGTGCCAGAATGGGAGCAATGAACAGCAGCAAGCTGTGGCATTTCTAATATATTTTTACTTGTGGGGATTCACAACAAAAAATTTTGTAGTAGAGGTGTATTTGCATATGTGTGCACTGGTTTTGGTTGTGAAGATGTTTCGCTGAACTTGCTTTTCAATAAAAAATCTACTTTGATAATCTTCAACAAGTGTTGAGGCACACAATTATACAATTAATTCTCACCACTTGCTTCATGAACAAAATCACAGGGCATCTGGAGAATCGAGACCTTGTAGTTTTCTCCTAGTCATCCCTGCTCATGCTCAGTCTGAGATGCCGCATGTTCATCTCTGCGGGCTTGGGGATAGCTAGTGAGTCTCCCACTGATGGCTGTAGCACAGCTCTACTTATGTGTACTTCCTGTGTGTTGTGGAGCCAACTGATGCAAAAGGAAACTGGGATACACAGTTCTTGGGGTTGAGTATGAGTTGTCATAGCTTGTGGGCCGTTCACACTTAGCACAAGAGGGAGTTACGGCTCAGAGATGCCACCACAAATGCACAAGAACTCTGTAGTGCATTTAGTTGTTAGTAAAATTGGTAGATCCATGGAATCTGTTATGTATCAGTAACAAGGCAGAACAACAAAGACAGATTTTGGTGAGGCATATAGAGTTCTGGTGGAAACAGAGCCCACGATGCCCAAGGTAAGAGCTGATCCTGGGGGGCAGGGACATCTTAAGCCAGCTTTGCCATGGAAGCTTTCGATTAGAACAAGCTTCAGAAACTCTGAATTAGATCTGCAGTTCTTAACGAAAATTGGGTAAATCGTTTTGGGATCTCTGAAAATGTTATACCTTTGAAAGTTCATATGAATAATTTTGGAAATAAACTTTGAACGTTTTATGTCTTCTGCACTGTCAACCGGATGACATGTTCATTATTGTATTGACGGATGAAAGCAAACAATACAATTGAAAAAATAGGACAACATGGAATATTGAAGACTGCTTTATGAGATAAAACAGTGTGGATCATAGAAGGGCTGCAATCGCTCAGACTTCTGACTTTGGTAGAAAACATTATCAAATGAAATTTGAAAGCTTTTTCCTTTGTCAATAACTTCATGAAGCATAAATAAGTTTTGCATTGAGTTACATGGCTTAAGTTGTTAGCCAAAATTTGCTCTGTAGTTGCAATAGAAAGAGTATTTTCAAGTAAATCTTTGAGTTCTGTTTTAAACTTTTCTGTGCTAATTAAAAGTATTTGATATGCAGGTCCAGAGTACTTCATGGATGCCTCATCCGCCATATGTTATGCAACCAACAGTAAGTGGATACTTGCTTATATCCAGCTAAAAGTGCTTACACTGCAGCCTCATTCTACTTGTCAGCCAGGTTGAAGTCCTAGGTCATGTAAGATCAGCCAGCTGCTTCCTTTGACAAGCCCTCTGCTGTAAAGTTTCTGCTTCTTTAAGCTTAGAGCACCATTTGATTTTGTCCAAAGGGGAGGATGGATGATATGTTATCTAATTGCATTGACTGTAAGAGAATAACAAGCTCTGAAGTGTTGCTTCTGAAGCTTTGCTTCAGTGACTGCAAGATAACTGCATTCTTGCATACTTTGAATTGCCAGGATCAAGAAATTACCCCTCCCTCATATGCTTATCCATCAAAAAAGTCCTTTGTAGTTGTATATACTTTAAGGGGTCCTCAATGCCTCAGTAATGCATTTGAAGTACTGGAAAAGGGTAAAGCACAGCTGTCTTGCAGAGTCTCTGCCAAATCTGAAGAATCTGCTTTATGATTTGACCAGTCACGTCTTTTTTCTTCCCTGAGTAAATTGTCATCTTTCGTCAATTTATAACGCCTACTTAAAGCTACATTACTCTTATACTAACGTTCATTAGAAGCAATGCAGGTGATTTTTTGTTTACCTCATAGAAGAGTTTTGATGCACTTTGCCTAAATGTAAGCAATATACCAGAAGGAAACAACATACTGAATTCCACTATGTACAGATTGCTTTAGTTTCGCTTCCTACCTTTGGTCAGTTTCTCAGGTATGGATCCGCTTAAAGATGTCGTTGATCAAAATTCAAATGTGCACTCCACATAAGCATCAATACATTGATTTATATGAGGAGGGTAAAATTAAAATGAAGGTGTATAGCTTACAATTGTTTTTAATTGGCATGTGTGTTCAAATATTTTGACTTCACAATAGAGTAACCTCTAGTGGGAGTTAACTATACAACAACATGGGTATAATTACACCACATGCTCATTTAGTAGCACAGGACTCTCATCGCCATTTGAATCCCCCTTCCACATCCCTCAACTCTTTGGAGACAAGTTCTTCAGCTTTTTTCTCTCCACGCAATGACCATAGCATGGAACTGACTGTCTCCTGGAAGCCCAGTTCCCACCACTGCGGTTCTGCACCTCTGTCCAGACCCCGATGGAAGTTTCCATCTCAATGGAGTAAAGCTACTGCTGGTTTTTTTTGCTGTCACTTGCAGGGTGACAAGCTGTATTGAACAAACTCACAGTTAAAAGCAGTCCTGTATTCTAATATTTGGATTTAATTGCAGACCACAAGAAATCTTAAATATGTGTATATGATGAGTTATCAGACTTGTGGAAGCTAAAAGATCTCTGATCCTTGCAGACAGACTCCCTTTCTGAAAGGAGAACCTAAGCACTTTAGCAATCCCAGTTTTTGTGTATATGTGTGGTTTTTATTTGACAATGTTTAGCAAAGCATTTTGTGCAATACTAGAATCGGTGAATATTTTGGTGTGGTAGTTGGATGTATTTACCCCTTGGTAAAGGGCTGTGAAAAGAAAAATAACTTTTATAGTGAGGGATACCCTCAATATGCAGAGTTAAATTTGTGTTCGTTGCCAGCCAGAGGGTTGTGTCAATGAAAGGGTATGTGCTTGTAGGAGGAAAAGCAGAGGGACAGTGGGCAAGTTGTGTAACGTTTTAGTTCCAGTGTCTTTGCCATTGTGGGTTGCCTCCATGTGTTGTCTGTAGCAATTCCAGTCTTTTCACTGAAAGATTTTTCCCATGTGTTTCCCAAGATTATGTTCTTAAATAAATGGACATGAGGCATTTAGTACTGAAGAAGTATAAAAGCAAAAAGGCAGAACTACCATTCCCCAGGTTTCACTCAGAGATGAATTCTTTATTAGAAATGTCTGAAAAGTTTTCGGAGAATTACTACACAGAGGACTCAAGAGGCATCAGAATTAATGGCCTATTTTGAAAGAAAATAGTCTGTGTCCATTGTAAGTTTGCTGTAGTTTCATGCCTAACTATAGACTCTATTCTAGGCACCTCCATAGCTTAAAAAAATGAAGAAAAGATTATGATAAAGTTGGCAGAATTTAAGATGTGAGTTTCTGTAACCATGTGAGCTGATGAAACTGGGAACTTTCTGATTTGGTTAGCTTTTTGTTTCTTCATGTAACTTAGTTTGCCATGTTATTATCTAAATTGCCACCACTTTACTTCATAATATTTTATGAGATGATTGATTGTGGTACGTGATGTCCCACTGGAAAACAGTGCAGATAAATATTACATTCCCCTTGCCCCAGGAAGGAAAATATTTTGTTAAGCCTCTATTATTCTTTGTGAGTAGAGATGAACTCTTACAGAAAGCACAGTCTGAATTACTCAAATGCTGGTGGTTAATTCTTTGTTTTGATTGTAAGTATCCACTAAATCATGTTACGGGATGATTAGCTTTTCATTTCCGACAAAGTCCTACTTGCTATTTATGTATAATTTAACAGCACGTAGTGTCCCTAATGACAGAAGAATAGGCAGGACGATGCTGTAGAGGAGACGAAGGAGGTTTTTCATTCAACGTGCTGTGCACAGACAGGACAGTTTTCTCCCAGGCTGGCAAGCTGGCCAGTGGGATGGAAGAGCTGTGCCGCATGGCGCTACCACCCGGTGTCTGCCTGCCTCTGCTCTGCCTGCCCATCTCCTCTCCTTTGCTACCTGCCTGCCCACTCATTTAAATACTGTGTTCTTTTTTCAGTGACATCCCCTGCAGTAGGTGGGGCTGCCAAAGATGTTGCTCCTTTGTTTCCCTTTATATATCGATGTCAGCTGCATTTTCCTGACATGTGCATGTGTGCATTCTGTATCTGTTTACTTGGTGGATTAAAAAATCACCACTATAGTAAAAGACTGTATCTCTAATTCCTTCTGTAGCTTTTTCACTACAACCAGATAAACCTCTGACCCTAACAGATAGCAATAACATATATATTAACAGGAAAACATTTGCATATATTGCTTTCCATTCCCTAGCCTCCTTTGTCTTCTTACTTTTGTGATGTCCTTAAAGGCAGATAGCAACCAAAATAAAAAACAGTCGTAATTTTTTTCCTAATGAAAGTCAGATGGGCAGTCAAGGACTCTGCAGGTATATCACAATTTAACTCATGATTTTTCCTGTAACTTTAACCTTGCCAGCAATTGGTTGATGCCAACTGTGAATACAATCTTGAAAGGGTTTTTATTTTTTGTTATCAATGATTTTTGCTAGTCTCATGCTAAAAGCCATGGAAAATTAATATCAAATAGGTTAAGGTAGCATTGCTATTTCAGAAAAAATAGTATAAAAAATTTTCTTTTGCTGTCATAGAAGGGTCACATCTGAAAACCTCCCACATCTTTGTGCTTGCACAACCTTTGGGGTTTTGTGAAACAAGATTCCTGAATCTTGTGTACGTGATGAAAAATTTACCTTTAGGCTCATGTGTGACTCAGACTCTTGAAAATGTACCCTTCATAAAGGGAGTCTTCACGACTTTTTGACCATATTGACTGCACTGTGTCCAAATGAGAATGCCTCAAATTTGCCAGTTTTGTTGCTTTGTCATGTGCCCTGGTCCCTCTCACTAGTTGCAATGGAAGACAAGCTCCAGAAGAGTTATGGCAGTGTGAGGCTGGACTCATATCGGCATAACATTTAATGCACTGACGGCAGTCTGGGCTCTGTTTAGTAAACTATAGCTTTCAAAGTACAGTGCTCAGTCATCCCTACTTGAAACAAGTCTTGTATTTCGTTACTGCCTCGGGATACGGGTAGATGGATAGCAATGACAGAATCAAAACATAAATGGGATAAGAGTTATTCTGGGGATTTATAACGTTTGCCATATTAGTGTGTTTTTCCTGTAGTCCCCGAAGGCTGTCTGATGGCTCAGGGAAAACTTTGAACAATGTGTTGTTTAAAGTCAATTCACATATAGATAATCATTTTTATTAATGATGGCATTTATGTAAAACTTTTTTGATTCAAATCTTTATTACAAATAATACGTGTACTCTTCCTCTTTAAAGGCTAATTTATTTGTTTTAGTGAACCAACAGAAATGCTCTACCCTAATACTCTATGTGCACACTGGTTTTACACTTACTCTCTTTTAGTTGCAAGAAAAAACATGTGACCATAAGTAGTCACTGTGTTTGCACAGATAGATATTCTTGTCAGTCTGGAATATTTTCTGCATAATGGCTGCAGAAGAAATATGACAATGGAAGCATGAAGGGTGCGAGCAGAGCAGCATATGGAAAAACTACTATTGATAATTATAAAGTGTGTTTGGGAGAACTTCTCTTCTGGCCAGTTCTCAAGCCCTTACAGGCCTTTTAGAAAGGTCAATGTCTTAACAAATGCCCTTATTATTTTTTTTCTGTCTTCCTCTGGCCCATGGCTGAATGTAATCAGTCTGTCTTTAAAAGCAACAACAAACGTTTTTTATTTCATAAGCAGAGTAAAACCCCTACTTTGGTGAGAAGTGAGGCTGAGTAAGGACTCCAGATTCTTGCCTTTTGATTGTTGTGCATGAATGTAGCATAAAAAGTACAAACTGTCCAACTGAAATATATCAGTTTTCATTTTCTCACTAGTGACTCTGTTGTTTTGGATAATACCCAAAATACCACAGCAGTTTCAGTGTTTTGATTCCTATGCTCTCGAACAAAGAAGCTCCTTGTGCTGCGTTCAGTGTCGCTCTCCCGAGACGGCTTTCTCTACCTCCCGGTTGTTGCACTACCTTTTTAGCAAACAGAGCCGGGAGTCCGTCTTGCCTTTGCCTGTATGAGTGTAAAGGGAACAAACTATGTCCTCTGCAGACAGTTGAGTCCTGCCTCCAAGATGAAATGTGAGAGTTCGGCTAGCTGGTATGAAAAGTAAACAGGAAATAATCCTTAGAAATTGGAATCTCCAGCTAGTCTTTTAACTTTTAGCTGTGTATTTTTAAGAGATCCTTTGAACATGAACTTACTTGAACTTTTAAGGCT